TACGAAACACTTGAACCCAAAAACGCGATGCGACCGGACAGAACCACCAAGTATGTGCATGGGATCCTAAGTCAGTACAACCCCTAACAGTGAGTTGAATGCAAGGGGACAAACGTGGCTATCTGAACAGGGACCATGTACCATCTCATTAGCACTTTATAATTGGTCTCCAACGCACTTGCACTTCTTGAGCTCGACCTTGTTGATAACCATATTTGAGACCATGCTTTGTCTCCCAGTGTAGTATCCAGTTCGTGTTCCCATTTGGAGAGATAGGAAGGTTGAGGTGAGGACAACAGGTTGAAATACAGAAGAGAGACCAATCCCCAACGGTTCGGATCATCACGACAAATACGTTCAAAAGGGTTCAAGAGTTTAACACTTTTAGGTCTCCCTATTGGTTTGGATTTGAAAGGCTGTAATCTGCAGGTAACGGAAAAATTGGGCATCCGGGATTTGAAAGTGTTTTTTAAGGTATTGAAAGGTTTTAAGACCGGCATCGGACTGAAATTTCCCAAAACGGGTCAGATCGTGCATCACCCAAGCGTCAAGAATCATGCCTCAACTGCTTAATGCTCAAAGGTAAGGGCCTGGGGTCCACAGACACCAGAAATGTGGGGTGGGGAGGAAGACCTTCAGGTTTAAGGGAGGCCAGATTACACCCCTGCATGGGTCCTAAAGAACAATCCCAAGGAGTTTTGTAGACTCCTGGCTTTACCCGTTTTTGGAGGGCACACTCCCTCCTCCATGGAAGGGTCTTCAGAGACGGAGCTCCATCAGACAGGTGGATCACAGCCCGGGATCTGTAGAGCACCCTGAGGCTAACTGCACCTCACTGTACGGATGTACCAATGGTGAGCGCCTAACACAGAGTACAGTGCTTTACAGGCAACATTACACGCCGGCCCCACATCTTCCACATGGTGAAGTCCGGTCCCTGAGGACTGCCAAGGGACACAGATTTGGAAGCTGTAAGATCACAGCCTCATTGGCACAGGTGCAGCTAGGTTGAGGTGAGATTCCTCTTCAGATAGGTTGCAGAAATACATTTAGCCACAAACCAACTATCAGTAGAGTGAGAGGTTGCCTTTCACCTATGGACACTAGCAAAAAACTGAGGGTTGCTGCGAGGGGGAAAGGTTACTATGGGTTGCTAAGGCAGCTCCCACTGGTCAGGGCAACCGGCAAGCTGAAACAAAAAACAAAAGGAGCGCCTCCATCGTATAAAAAAGTATAATAAATCTGTAAAAACAGCTAATACCGTACTCACAAGCATATGGGTTTAGCAGACATGTAGTTACAAGGATAACCGAAAACACGGATGATACATCAAAGCCTCAGCCTGCACGGTTTATGCGTTTCAGAGGACACACCTCCTTCCTCAGAACCAGTTCTTTTTACAGATTTATTAAACTGTTTTATACGATGGAGGCACTCCTTTTGTTTTTTGACTCATTAGTGTTACAAGGTCTCAGGTGTGAATGTGGAGCAGGTGTGTTAAATTTGGTGTTATCGCTCTCACTCTCTCATACTGGTCACTGGAAGTTCAACATGGCACCTCATGGCAAATAACTCTCTGAGGATCTGAAAAAAAGAATTGTTGCTCTACATAAAGACAGCCTAGGCTATAGAAAGATTGCCAAGACCCTGAACTGAGCTGCAGCACAGTGGTCAAGACCATACAGCGGTAACAGGACAGGTTCCACTCAGAACAGGCCTCTCCATGGTCGACCAAAGAAGTTGAGTGCACGTGCTCAGCATCATATCCAGAGGTTGTCTTTGGGAAATAGATGTAAGAGTGCTGCCAGCATTGCTGCCAGGTTGAAGGGGTGGGGGGTCAGACCATACGCCGCACACTGCATCAAATTGGTCTGCATGGCTGTCGTCCCAGAAGGAAGCCTCTTATAAAGATGATGCACAAGAAAGCCCGCAAACAGTTTGCTGAAGACAAGCAGACTAAGGACATGGATTACTGGAACCATGTCCTGTGGTCTGATGAGACCAAGATACACGTATTTTGTTCAGATGGTCTCAAGCGTGTGTGACGGCAACCAGGTGAGGAGTACAAAGACAAGTGTGTTTTGCCTACAGTCAAGCATGGTGGTGGGAGTGTCATGGTCTGGGGCTGCATGAGTGCTGCCAACCACTGGGGAGCTACAGTTCATTGAGGGAACCATGAATGCCAACATGTACTGTGACATACTCAAGCAGAGCATGATCACCTCCCTTCGCAGACTGGGCCGCAGGGCAGTATTCCAACACGATAACGACCCCAAACACACCTCCAAGAAGACCACTGCCTTGCTAAAGAAGTTAAGGGTAAAGATGATGGACTGGCCAAGCATGTCTCCAGACCTAAACCCTATTGAGCATCTGTGGGGCATCCTCAAACGGAAGGTGGAGGAGCGCAAGGTCTCTAACATCCACCAGTGATGTCGTCATGGAGGAGAGAAAGAGGACTCCAGTGGCAACCTGTGAAGCTCTAGTGAACTCCATGCCCAAGAGGGTTAAGGCAGTGCTGGAAAATAATGGTGGCAACACAAAATATTTACACTTTGGGCCCAATTTGGATATTTTCACTTAGTGAAAATGTGTACTCACTTTTGTTGCCAGCGGTTTAGACATTAATGGCTGTGTGCTGAGTTATTTTGAGGGGACAGCAAATGTAAACTGATATACAAGCTGTACACTCACTACTTTACATTGTAGCAAAATGTCATTTCTTCAGTGTCGTCACATGAAATTATATAATAAAACATTTACAAAGATGTGAGGGGTGTACTCACTTCTGTGAGATACTGTATATGTCACATGAAATGAAAGCCCTATATGACCTTTAAAAACCGGTATATAACGTGTTGGGGCAATAAATAAGAAAGATGGCAATTGCGGTTGATCACAAGAAGCAAAAATTGCTTTGGTCCTTAACTGAAAGACGAGCATCTGAACCAGGGGCGGACTGGGCCGGGGGGCAGGGTGGCAATTGCCCCCCGGGCCTCTCTGATGCCACCACGAACGGCCCCTTGACCCCCGCTGCCACCTGCACCCCCCTGCCCGCCGCATATGACGCGGCTCTGTGATCGCTGCGGCCTCTGCTCGTCAAGGAGGTGCTCGGGAAGCCCCAGCAGGGGGCCCTCTAACATGCCGCGTCTACCTGGTACAGCCAGCCCAGTTCGTCTCGGTATGCGATCCGGGCTGGCTGTAATCAGGCGCTGTAGAGGGCCACCCGGTTGGGCCTTCTGAGGACCGAGCGGCTGCCGATCGCAGAGCCGCATCGGATGCGGGCAGGCCGGGTCCATGGAGCCTCCCACTGACCACCAGGCCAAGGTAAGGTGACAACATTTTTAAAACAAAACCCGGGGACATTTTATCACCGGGAACATAAAACAAACTTTTTTTGTGTGTAATATTCACCTGATCCCTGCATCCACCAAAAGTGCGGCCTCCCGTCTCCCACGCTGTTAGAAGCTGCATGCGGCGTGTGCTGGTTACTACTTTAACTGGCGCGCACTGTGTGCAGATTCTGAGAAGACACGCTATTAGCGTAGCGGGAGCGATGCAAAATGTGCAGCCGGCTTCCTCGCTATGCTAACAGCATAGCTTCTCAGCAGCTGCACACAGTGTGCCGGTTTAAGTAGTAACCAGCACGCTCTGTATGCATCTTCTAACAGCGTGGGAGACAGGAGGCCGCGCTTGTCGGTGGATCCAGGGATCAGGCGAGTATTAAAAAATAAAAATTGTTTTATTTTATGTTCCCGGGGACATCTGTGGTATTCTGCATTGTGCTGTATAATGTATTATTGCTGGGATTTGTAGTCCCCTTATACAGCGAAATGCAGAATACCACCAGCTGACGAGGCATCCCTCCACTACCAGTGTGCTTTACATTTCCTAAACCGATAAATACATTCACACTACTGTTACATGGATGGCAAAAGTGGCAGACAGGGACGGGGAGAAGGCGGGGGAAAAGGCAGAGCGGGAGGGGGGCCAAGTTGCTGCACCATGGGCCTCTGGGTTGTACTTGCCCCCTGGGCTAAAAGTTGCCAGTCAGCCCCTGATCTGAACCTTGGTCCTTAAGGGGTAAATCTAAATAGGTCAGGGAGGTATAAATACATGATAGCCCATATACATTTAGGAGGCAACATACGATTTTTTTGTATGTACATATTGTTTGATATGGTTTTATTCAGTGTTTTTTTAGTTAAATGCATAAACATACTGATTTAGAATAACATTGTATGGCTGTGTTTTGGCACCTAAAAAGCCCCCATTCAAAAGTTTTATTTCTGTCTATCATTTGGTACCAGGGAAGTGGCGCCACATAAAACTGTTAAAAAAGATCCAGCATTACTTTAAGTTTAACTACACTTCACTTCTGTGAGGCAGATTACTGTCTTTTTTTTGGGGAGACTTCCTCTCATGTCAGAAAAAAATCTCTCTAAAAAAGAGCATTAAAATCTCAGTGGTTCTAACCCTTTTCTACTCTATCTGAAGCAAAACACAAGCAGAAATTTTGGTTGGAGGTCCACAGACAGCAATATAAAAAAAAACATTATTTAACCCCTTCATGACTGAGGCCCTTTTTTCAATTTTTGCACCCATGTTATATTCCACATTTTAGGCCTGAAAATGACGTTGGGGGCGGCCCCTTCTTCGGGACGCAGAAGCAATCTGGCGACAGGTAAGTCGCCAGGATCGCTTCTGTTGTAAAGCCGACAGTCGGCTCTACAAGTTTAAACAGAGTCCCGGCGGCAAAAGTCGCCGGGAGTCTGTTTAAACAGCCCCGATGCTGGCGACGTACACTGTACGTCGTCAGTCACGAAGGGGTTAAAAGAATAAATAAAAAAAAAGTTAAATGGTTTTGTCTACTCCACTTTGTTGCTGTTCCTTTCTTATTCAACTGGAAAGGAAGACATTCCCAAAAAGAAAATAAACAATAAATCAATTTATAATAGAGTGGCTTAATTAACTCACAGGTGTACACAAACATTTTTTACCATTAAGGAAGTTAAGTTGGTTCTCCAACACTTGGTTGAGTTCATGGATCCACAACTGTCTTACAGCAGGAGATGTAGCATTCATGATATACATTTCAGTGGAATCTGTAGATCTTGATAGAAGAGCAAACTTGCAAGGATCATTTTCAATACATTCCTCCAGACTCAGGCAATTAACCTGTAAGTAACAAAGTGTGTATGTATGTATATATCAGTAAAACAAATCCAAAGCGCTAAATTTGACCAACAGATGAAAATAGTGCAAACGAGGTTGACTAGGAGTGCTGCCCTACTTCAGCTTTGGAAGCTGCAACACTGAGGGAAAAAAGAAAAGAGAAGGGCGCCCACCCTAGTATAGAAGGTTTTTTAATGATATGAGTAAAAATACAGGGTAAAAACATACTCACAAAAGTGGATCAATGAAGGCAAAGAAAACGAGCCTAAGCAATATCTGTAAAACGGCTGCACAGATGCGTGTGTGTCAGCACGGGACTCCTTTGATGACGCGTTTCCTCTCTAGGAATCCAGAAAATTCCTCCTGTGTGCCATCCCAAATCATAATGATATCTGGCATAAAGTACCAATTTGGATCCAAAAGGATTATTAGTCCAGATAAATTGTTCCTCCCAATATCCCATACATATTCAATATTCATTCTTCATACTTCAGGTTTGGCGGCTTCCATTAAATCATTTGAGCTTGTGATATACAGGTTATTGTCTCAAGAGTAGAATTTTAACCCATTGGCATATTGTGATCTCATACACCAGTACTACATTTCCTATTTTTTATCTCAATGCACTTTTTTGTCATTCATGTGTATATCCTTCATTGTGATTCTATGAGCACCCGACTGCTAATTATGTTTTTTATATTGATTATTAATCCAGTTTTTGCTATAAGAGTAATTAACGCTCTTTTTTATATATATTTTCATTACTATGTTTTCCATTATTTTCAGTATTTTTAGCAGACTTCAGCATATTTATGTCTAGGTCCTCAGTCCCACACATACAGCTTTTGATATTTTACAGTTCCATTCTTTATATATAATTTTAGAACCTCGATTCATGCTCCACTTGTCTCTCATTCCCCTTTCTCACACAGCAAATACATGCTGGCTGGCTCGATCGTTCTGCCTGCCGATTGGCCGGCGAGCACAGTGTGTGAGAGTTGCAGGGCTGGACGTCATCAAGAGGCCGCTGATTGGCTTATCGGCATTCCACCCATTTTAGTGGAGTTAGCCGCAAGAATAGATGTACTCTAACATGTACTAGATGTTACGACAATCCGCCGCCTTACACCATAGAGCTTGGCTCATTGAACTGTATCAATCACACTTCCCTTTATAAAGCTGTATGATTGCCGATTGGCCGGCGAGCACAGTGTGTGAGAGTTGCAGGGCTGGACGTCATCAAGAGGCCGCTGATTGGCTTATCGGCATTCCACCCATTTTAGTGGAGTTAGCCGCAAGAATAGATGTACTCTAACATGTACTAGATGTTACGACAATCCGCCGCCTTACACCATAGAGCTTGGCTCATTGAACTGTATCAATCACACTTCCCTTTATAAAGCTGTATGATTGAGTCAGTGGTTATGTTCTGACGAAGGGGGCGTGGCCCCGGAAACGCGTCATCAAAGGAGTCCCGTGCTGACACACAGGCATCTGTGCAGCCGTTTTACAGATATCGCTTAGGCTTGTTTTCTTTGCTTTCATTGATCCACTTTTGTGAGTATGTTTTTACCCTGTATTTTTACTCATATCATTAAAAAACCTTCTATACTAGGGTGGGCGCCCTTCTCTTTTCTTTTTTCCCTCATGTATGTATATAGATCTATATAAATATATCTATATATATCTATTGCTTCTCCCCCGCAAGGGAGAAGTTCTCCATCCAACTTTCATAATGATATCTGGCATAAAGTACCAATTTGGATCCAAAAGGATTATTAGTCCAGATAAATTGTTCCTCCCAATATCCCATACATATTCAATATTCATTCTTCATACTTCAGGTTTGGCGGCTTCCATTAAATCATTTGAGCTTGTGATATACAGGTTATTGTCTCAAGAGTAGAATTTTAACCCATTGGCATATTGTGATCTCATACACCAGTACTACATTTCCTATTTTTTATCTCAATGCACTTTTTTGTCATTCATGTGTATATCCTTCATTGTGATTCTATGAGCACCCGACTGCTAATTATGTTTTTTATATTGATTATTAATCCAGTTTTTGCTATAAGAGTAATTAACGCTCTTTTTTATATATATTTTCATTACTATGTTTTCCATTATTTTCAGTATTTTTAGCAGACTTCAGCATATTTATGTCTAGGTCCTCAGTCCCACACATACAGCTTTTGATATTTTACAGTTCCATTCTTTATATATAATTTTAGAACCTCGATTCATGCTCCACTTGTCTCTCATTCCCCTTTCTCACACAGCAAATACATGCTGGCTGGCTCGATCGTTCTGCCTGCCGATTGGCCGGCGAGCACAGTGTGTGAGAGTTGCAGGGCTGGACGTCATCAAGAGGCCGCTGATTGGCTTATCGGCATTCCACCCATTTTAGTGGAGTTAGCCGCAAGAATAGATGTACTCTAACATGTACTAGATGTTACGACAATCCGCCGCCTTACACCATAGAGCTTGGCTCATTGAACTGTATCAATCACACTTCCCTTTATAAAGCTGTATGATTGAGGCCGTGGTTATGTTCTGACGAAGGGGGCGTGGCCCCGGAAACGCGTCATCAAAGGAGTCCCGTGCTGACACACAGGCATCTGTGCAGCCGTTTTACAGATATCGCTTAGGCTTGTTTTCTTTGCTTTCATTGATCCACTTTTGTGAGTATGTTTTTACCCTGTATTTTTACTCATATCATTAAAAAACCTTCTATACTAGGGTGGGCGCCCTTCTCTTTTCTTTTTTCCCTCATGTATGTATATAGATCTATATAAATATATCTATATATATCTATTGCTTCTCCCCCGCAAGGGAGAAGTTCTCCATCCAACTCCCCCACCCATTTCTGGCCTGTATTCTTCTTTTGTTGCGTTGGGGCCCCCCTGATCCTCATTCGCCTCATTCTCCAGTGCTGCTTTGTTAATTTAGGATCCACTTCTGGGCTTGCTTCTATGTTCCCAGCGGGGCCCCTTCTAATCTGTCATGGAGGAGAGACTTAACTGAAGTGATTTCTAGCCTCACTTCTGTGATGGATCAGGAGGGGCACCGCCACACTAAAAGAATACCACCAGCTACAGAGGACTACAAATCCCAGCAATACATTATACAACAATGCAGAATATCACAAGCTATTGAGGGATCCAAATCCCAGCAATACATTATATAGCAATGCAGAATGTTACCAGCTATAAAGGACTACAAATCCCAGGAATACTTTATGCAGCAATGCAGAATATCACAAGCTATTGAAGGATACAAATCCCAGCAATACATTATGTAGCAAAGCAGAATACTACTAGCTATAGAGTACTACAAATCCAAGCATTACATTATACAGCCATGCAGAACACAACCAGCTATAGAGGACTACAAATCCCAGCAATTTTACAGCAATATTTAGCAATTTCAAGCAGAATAATGAAGCTACATACTCTGTGTTGCTCCAGGGTGGCAGCCTGATGTCCCCTGGGTCTCAGGAGGACTGTGTGGAGTCACAGGAGGCTGTGCACGGTCTCACTAGGGTTATAAAGTGTGTCCTCAGGGTTGTGTATGCACTCACCAGGGCTGCGTACAGTGTCACCAGGGCTGCGTACAGTGTCACCAGGGCTGCGTGTAGTCTCACCAGGGCTGCTTGGGGTCTCACCAGGGCTGCTTGGGGTCTCACCAGGGCTGCTTGGGGTCTCACCAGGACTGCGTGGGGTCTCACCAAGGTTGTGTGGGTCTCGCTGTGTCTAGTGTACAGTCTCACCAATAGTGATAGGCTTGGTGTTCGAGTAGAGCGGGAGTTCGACTCGAACTGTTTGGCGAACACACGAACTGTCAGGGCGTTCGGCAAGCTGTTCGCCCACCGAGCGCCCCACAAGGCACTGTGCCTTGTGAAGCCCGGATTGGCTAAAGCCTTGCACCTGTCACCGCTAGCTCCACCCAATTGTTTATTTGTTGCTAGCATCTGTCAAAATGACATTATGCAGCAGGTGCTCCTCGTGAGCGGACGGGACGGCGGTCGTCATTTAAAAAAAAAATATTTATTTTTATTTTTTATTTCATCGAGTCGTTGCCATCGTGGACAATGCTGGACGTCATGATCTCGGTGCCCCTTTATTAAAGTGGTACCCTGATGTGAGTAAGCCCCCTGCCTGCACCCCCACAACTAACGCCCCTGGGCTTGTGGGGAAGAGGCCCTTGTCCCCATCGGCATTTGGATAAGGTGCTATTCCCGGGGCGACCCTGGAAAAGTACCCTCCAAGTGCCGAGGGCATGTGGCCTGGTATCGCAAGGAGGGGGGGCATCACTCATCCCCCTCTTTCCTGCCATGCCAAACCTGTGCTCAGATCAAGGGTCTGGTTGGGAATTTTAAACCCCACTTTTCTTCCCCGCACTTTTGGGGGTGGGGTTCCTACTAAAAACTCCTACCAGACCTTAAGGGCCTGGTATGACTTTGAGGGGGAACCCCACACACATTTTTTTTGGTTGTTTTTTAACATGGGGTCCCTCTTAAAATTCCTACCTTTCTTAGGGGTCCGGTATGACTTTTGGGGGGCACCCCATGCTTTTTCCTCTTTATTTTAAATGGGGTCCCTCCTAACATTCCTACCAGACCTAAAGGGTCTGGTATTGGTATTGGGAGGGGGAACCGTACGCTTTGTTTTTTCTTTACAAATGTAATTTTTGCTGCATCAGGTGGTTCTATACATCGTACAGATGTGCCACTTTACAGGCAGTTTAAGGGGACCCCCAGGCACGATATTCAAAGGAAGTGATGTTAAAATCACTGCTCCATTAAAAACAGTATTTTTAAAAAATTGTTTTTTCTTTGAATTATGTCCCCCAGGAGAGTATCCGAATCCTTATACCCTTTTCATGGCCAATAAATTACATATAAGGCTTCAAAATGGGGACATTTGATTTTTCATGTTCTACACCATCGACTTGCATTGAGTTCAAGTTCGAACTTTCCCCATGTTCTAAAGTTTGAATTC